TAATTCCTCCCAATCTGTGATCTGTTTATCTCAAGGTCAAAAGCCCATGTTCTTGGAGCGGGAAATCGAGGGACCCTCTTCAAAAGTAGTAGTAGTGAACAGGCAGTAGGTGGCCCCCCTCAAAATTTCCGCGACTTATAGTTCTCCTGTTACCGTCACAAATTGTGGCGCCTAACTAGTCCAGCACGGTTCGAGGGATCAGGCCCAAAAAACATCCCCACGTCTGAACCTACCACGGGAAGCGTGCTGGTATCTCTCTCTCTCATCAGTGCTGGCATTTTCAAATAAACAGCAAAAAAGGCGAACCACCGTCCCATAGGAAATGAATGGGAAGGCAGAAAAACAAGCCCAAAACATTGGCCACTTTAGGGACTAATCGCTCGGCCCCATGACTTTTGATAAACCTCATTTGAAGATTAAACGGGTCATGAGAGATGGACCTAAAACATACTGGAGCCACGAGCCCTGATCCCACACCGTTTGGCCGCAATCACTGGTGACATTTTGGGAAAAATCTGAAAAATCCCCAATTGTCCTCTCCACTCTAGTGACATCATCACAGGCTCTGACTTTCCAGCGGGAAAAATGACACAAAAAGGCAAACTCCTTCCTCTCTCAAACCGGAGCAGAAAGGCCTCAGAATGTTTGAGCCCTAACCCTAACCCTAACCCTGAGGGTTTCCTGCCTCCATATTGTTCTGTTCTGGTCACCACACTTTGTCAACCCAGGCTTGTCATACATCTGGTCCTGGTTCTGGTGCTGGATCTGGTTCTGCTGCAGGTCCTGGTCCTGGTCCTGGTTCTGCTGCAGGTCCTGGTGCTGGTCCTGGTCCTGCTGCAGGTCCTGGTCCTGGTTTTTGTCCTGGTCTTGGTTCTGGTCCTGCTGCTGGTCCTGGTCCGGGCTCACAGGACTCTGACCGGATGTGGACCTGCAGAAACCTGAAGCTCTCCTGATTCCTGTTGGAGTTTCTCTGATTCTCTGATTTGTGTTCTAAAATGTTGTCGTGCGTGACATGTTTCATGAAACATACTTGTCCCTATCAAATAAACAAACAAATAAATAAATAAATAAATAAATGAGGAGGGTCTGAGGCAGGAACCACTGAGACCAGGACCTGAGTCCAGGAGGGCACCTTTATTCTGCTGCTGGGCCCCCCCCCCCGGTCAGTCCTCGGTCAGGTCGTCATTGAAGTGCAGCAGGATGGCGGGGACCTCCAGGTCCCGGTCCAGCCGGAGCTGGTCCAGCTCGCCGTCCTGGTCCGGGACGCTGTTCTGGCTGAGCGTGGCGGCCATGTTTAGCGGCGCACCGCCGTGCTTCCAGGTGTAGCTGTGGGCGTGGCCGTTGTAGGGCAGGTAGCGGCCCCGGATCTCCTCCAGGGTCTCCTCCGAGCACACCTGGAACCAGAGCTGTTACCCAGAATGCACCTGGCCTGGTGGCCTGGTTACCCAGAGTGCACCTGGGCGTTACCCAGGGTGCACCTGGCCTGGTGGCCTTGTTACCCAGAGTGCACCTGGGCGTTACCCAGGGTGCACCTGGCCTGGTGGCCTGGTTACCCAGGGAGCACCTGGCCTGCTTACCCAGAGTGCACCTGGTCGTTACCCAGGGTTCACCTGGTCGTTACCCAGAGTGCACCTGGTCGTTACCCAGAGAGCAC